CAAGAAGAGTATATTCATGGTTTGCGTTGGGAGGTTTGGAAGAGGAGCCTCCCTCCTCTCTGTTTTTTCCTTTAGACAAAATTTTTGTATTTTCTTGGGTATTTTCTAATTTGGTAGTTTTAATGCGAGTGAGAAAGAGTTTTTTTTTCAAAATATATAATTTTTATTACTACTTATATAATTAAAATTCTAATTATATCATAATTATTTTCTTTTATTATACTATTTAAATTTAATTATATTATTATAAAAACTTGTACTTTATAGTAATTATTAAAATAATTGATGTTTCAATACTTTTTATTTTAGATCTTATAAATATAATATATTTATTCTTATTATTTATGGCTTTAAATCAATAGAATATTTGATTATTTTTTAACAAATATCAAATTAAAATGGTTAATATTATTATTATATTAATGATAAGATATAAATTAATAAAAATATTATAAAAAAACACAAAATATTAATTGATTATAAGATAATTTGTTATTTTAAATAAAAAAATTTTATTTGTTTGTTTTTATTATTATTTTATTTTTTATGTATTATATATATATATCTTTTACTATATTTTTAAAAATTTTTATATTTTATTTGTTTGTTTTTTGTTATTATTTTATTTTTTATGTATTATATACATATATCTTTTACTATATTTTTAAAAATTTTTATATTTTAACTTTTTTATTTATTTGATTAATATTTTAAAAATTATAAAGTTATAATTTAATTTCTTATATTTCAAAAATTCAAGAATTTTAATGCTACTTATAGTTTTTTTATAAATTTAATTATCTCAATTAAATTATAATATTATTTGTATTATTTAATTTGTATTATTTTTTTATATTAAGTATTATTGATAAACAAATTAGATTATATTATATAAATACAATATATGTTTTTTAAAAAATCACAAGTTTTTAAATTCAATAATAATTAATTTTTTACAATTAAGAACATAATATATCTATTGTATTGCTGTATATACTGTAATAATAAAAATACAAATTTTTCAATTTTGATTAAATAAATAGTAGTAATTTAAAATTAGATTACTTATTTAATAATAAATACAGTATGCTTTATCGATTATATTTTTAGCAGAGATTATTATAACAAATTTAAATTGTTAAAATATATAATTTCTTGATATAATAGTGATAAAAAATATGTAAGTTAAAATTCTTATATTATTAGTAAAATTCATATTTTTGTTATTAATATTTGTATTGAAAAAATCATATATGAATTTTATAAATAAATATTATGAATAAATATTAATCCTTTTTTTTTTTAGAAAAAAAATTAATTACAATTAATTGTACCTTTTAAATTTTATATTAGCGACAAGATTATTTATTACTAAATTTTAATAACAACCAGATAATAGACCCATTATTGAATGACAGGTTAGGTTTTAATTATAATAAAACTTTACCATTGCTTTTAACTATTAAATTGACAAAAATCAGCCATTGAATAATATTATACTATCATGTAAAAAGGATCAATATATGATAATTGTGATTTCATGTGACTTATTATGTCATTATCTATATATTAAAAAATTAAGCAACATCAATCAAGCTGTGGCACAGGTGGCGTAAGTTCTTATATGATACATATTAAAAAATATATTTTGATAAAGAATATGTACCAATTACTGTATTCTACAATCAAATTGATCACTTTTTTAATATATAACGTTTAGCATTATATAATTTAATAAGTAATGGTAAGTTGCATCATCGACTAAAAGTTTAATACTAAGTCTAATTAGTAAGAATGAATTTAATTACATAGTAACATAATATTATGTATCAAAATTGCAGTTCGATTTAAAATCTAAAATTTAATGCCAAAGTCTAATAAGCTGCGACATAACTATTATATAGGAAATTGCAGTTTGATTTAAATTCTAAATTCTGTAATGAAAAATATTGCGAATGAATGCTTATACATGACATATCTCCAAAGTTGGTAGTATACAATTTGAATTACAAATTTTGTGATTATACCTTTAAAAATAATTAGATCATAATTAGAATTCTAGACGATAGTTTTAAAATATAAAGATTTACTGCTAAAGTCTAATAAGTAAGAATGAGTTTAATTACATAGAAACGTAATATTATGTATTGAAATTATAGTTTGATCTTAACTCTAATATTTAATGCTAAAGTCTAATAAGTAAGAATAAATATTGTGAATAAATTATTATACGTGACAAGTATAAAGTTGTTTTTTTTTACATTTATCATGACCATTCTTTTAGATCATAATTTGAATTCTAGACGATAGTTTTCAAATTTGTATCAAAAATATAATATATTCGGAAGTTCTTCAATAAATATATTTCTATAATCATAAGTAATATTCTAGCATTTTTTTTATTTGTTTTTTATTAATTGCCATTATTGTTATAATATAAACAATAATATAGTATGTATAAATTTTCAATAAATGATTAAATAATCGATAAAATAATTGTAATATTTTTTTTATCTTGTTATATAATTTATGCGAGTAAATATAATAATAATTGGTTTTACAATATTACAAAATAAATTTGTTTCAGCTAACAATATATATTATAGAGCAGATTTTCCTATACGATTCTTTTCTCTACAGCATACTCAAAATTGCAATCATGTTTTTTCATATACTTCATCCTCGTTCACGTTTCATTGTATATTATATTCTGGAGTTGAGAGCGTGATTCTGTATTTTTAAAATAATAACATTTATTTTCTATGGAATTATCAATTCGATTATTTTAGATATAATGTTTTTTGACACTATTCTTGCTGTGGCAAGGATGCTTTACGCCACCACAACTATACAAAAGCTCAATTTGCTTATGTCAAAATAATTATTAAATTGGATCAAATAATTCGAAAAGGATTGTAATGTATATTTTTTATTGTAGTAAATCACAAAGTATTAATGTGTAAGATTCGAGTGCGAAAAAAAAGTAATTACAGTATTATTTTATAAATGAACGTTAAAATAAGAAAACTGACTAGCAATGTAAAGTTCTAGTATGCATCTGTGCATCCAGAAACGATATTAAAAGTATTGGCAATATAATGTTCTAGGACAACTTGGGGTTTTCCGTCAACAGTTCCATCAATATCACTAGTCCTATTAAACCCAATAATAATCACATAGTTCCTATGATTTGGAAAATCAGGAACCTTAATTGTTGCCTCTCCCTTACTTAACTCATAATCTACAAACACATCCAATGGTGGTTCAGAGATTTCATTCTTCTCGTTATAATAAAACAGATGGATGATAGCTTTGATGTCTTGGTACAAATCAAATTTATCACTCCAGGTTACACAGATTTCATCTCCGGGATGATAGGTTTGATTAACTGGTGGAGACAACATAGTGAGACCAAATTTGGGACAGCCAATGTTAAAGGTGCCGGACGCGGCGATGAACTCTCCTTCGGAATCAAAAATTCCTATATGATACCTTTTAACACAGAATTTATGAATGAGATATACGTAAATGACAAATAACATACAGTATTTTCAAATTTTTTCGCAAGAATACCTAGCATCATCGGTGAGATTATACTCTCCCTTTTTTGGTAAATTGTATTTTAACACGTAATATTCTTGTCCAGGTGGAGTCAATGTGATATTTCTCTCAAAAACGTAGACCGTTCTCTCGGCCGCGATTTGCAAATTCAATTCATAAATCACTTTAACCGATGGATCAGGATGTATAATTATTTCGATTTCATCACCAAATTCATAATTGTGACCACTCACAGGGGAAGTAATAAGAATTCCACGAACATTTGACAAATCTTTGACGCATCGAGTGCTTAGGCCGACAGGTGTAGAGTGAATGCAAGAAATCGTGATGGAAAGAACAAGGAAAAATAAAGCAAAAATATGAGATTTGAATTTCATCATTTTTTTTTCTTTTTTCTTATCTTGACGTTAAAATTACCTTCAACGTTGTCTTAGCAATCTTTGAAGGCTCGTCGTATTTATATGTTCTTATGTTACATAAATTCAAATTAGACCATAGACCGATATGTAAATATAGAACTGTTGTGATGTAACACACATGTATATGGATAACCATAAACATATCTTCTATTGAAAGTTGTTTGTTACTTAATACGAACGATCTTGTGTGACGCAGTACATAAGATTGAGATATTGAAAAAGCCTCTTTATGGTGAGAATTAAAAAATCTGCAGAATCATTATTGTTGAATTGATAAATAATAGGATCAACAGTGTTCGTGTTGATTTTCTTCATCAGCCCTACGAGCGAATCTTTCATGTATCCCTTCCGTAAAACGTTACAAGTGCTAAAAATGAAATGTAAAAATTACACGAATACGGGGAACTCTCAAGAGAAACGTAGTGCAATAGTGTTCAGTCTACTACATTTACATAATGTACATAGATTTTACGAATGTCATAATACCTATAGTCTATAATTGGTTATAAGTTACAAAGTATTTTATGCATCTTGTTACATCGCCGTACCTTCGACGACAATAAATTTCCAAAGAACGAAAAATTTTCTATATTATTTTTGGTGACAACAAACTACTGTATGGTTAAAATGGATTTAGTAATTGCTTAAGATAATAAATTCACTGTATGTACAGTAATAACCGAATATTTCAATTGTTCGACCCGAAAACAAATATGATTTACGTAATATTATTAAAGCATCTGGCAACAAACTATCTTAAAAAATGGTATCACTCTTTTAAAATAAGTAAATAAATAAATGGATGAAATGAAATGAAAAATAAAAAATAAAATCCAAATACTGTGCCTTATTTTAATAGACAAATCGATCGATCGTTGAACAAAAATAAAGGTTCAAATATACAGTGTATACAGCTATCATATACGCTTAATACAGTGCAGGACTTTAACTTGGTCACTATTACAAGCACCAAATTTTGCACAATCTTTAGAATTTCTCAAGAACGCCAGATGGGAATTGAGTTATGTTATTGAATGCATAAAACAACGTAAAAAAAAGTTAAATATAATATTTATTTTTCAAGTACTCCGGAGCATATTGGATGATCAAATCCAAAAGCTATTTCTATTCTCTCTCACATACGTAGTTTTTTCATTATTCTCGCTTGGATCTTCTATGCACCAACTATGGGAATGTGCATGCCACCTGTACCCAAAGAATGTCTGCCTGATATTTCTTAACTACTCACTACTTCACCAAGAACGACAGTTTCCAGTAGCACGTTTGAGTTACACAGCCATGCTACGATTTTTCCAACACGTTGTGGGGAGTACACAGCCATGATTACTCTAAACGGCACGTTGTGGGGAATACACAGCCGTGCTTCTCTAAACGACACGTTGTGGAGAATACACAGCCGTGCTTTCAATTACTGAAATATTTTCTGCTATTGAAATTAATTGGCAGTAGATAAAGAATATCGTCACGCGAAGTGGCAGCAGAAGAAAACATAAAACATCACCTATTCAATCATCCCTAGGTTTACAGTATTTTGATTTATTACATAGTTGCGCTGGTCTTAATCTATCACATACGTAGGTGCAATAGTCTTGATTTATCAATAAATCATCATTTTCACTTCCATCACATACAAAATTTTGTAACCAGGTCCCGATCCTTGCGATAATAACCCTTGTCGCGGTCGATTCTATAACCAGTGCTCTCATTTATAAGCTGTCTAGCGTTATATTTCAAACAGTAAAATTTGCATTCGCATCATCAATTACCAGAGCTTTCATTGCTGTTAAAGAACATAGAGAATTAGTAAATGTAATTGAAAATGGCTGTGATATACTAAAGTTTTTAAATTAATAGAGTTCTAAAATTAATATGGTCAAGCAAAAAAAAGGTGACGGCATATTTTATAAAACCAAAATATTTTATTGATAAATTAAAAGGTCAACATTGAAAAAAATAGTGATAAATTTATACAACATACTGTATGTGTGAAATATATGATTTCATATTGTCATATACCTTTTCTATCTTGGAAAAAAGATATAAACAGAAAACTAATAGCAGAGAAACACTTTGATGAAAGAATCTATAGTATACTAAAATTCCTAAAAGTGTACAAAATTAGTACAGTTTTGAGATTAATGAGATTAAGTGAAAGAGATAATAATGATTTGCTTTGTAAAAATCAATATATTTTATTAATATAATAAAAATTTAACCTTGCAATTCTTAAATAAAATTAAAGATTTATATATGTGTGTAAGATATATTATTTTTATACATAATATAGATAAGTTATATGAGTTATTATAATATAAAAAAGATGTTATACACACCCCTACGGTAAATTACTAGGATTTTCATATGAGTTGATGAACAATTGTCTTTTTTTTTTTTTATTTTATTTAACTTTCATTAATTTATGTACAGTTAGCAAAAAAATAGAATAAACTATAATGATTATAATTTATTTTCACACAATTCAAAACATGATATATTAATATTTCATATTTTTACCCTTAGCCTTAATAATTGCTTTGACATGTTGAGACAAGTTTAAAATTATGTACCGTACCATTTCAATACTTATTTTTTCCCATTTCTCTTGTATAATATGAATAAATTCTTGTCTAGATATAAGTAAAGATTTTCTTTTTCAAATCTGACAATCCAAATGGTCCCACAAATTCTCAATTGGATTGAGGTCAGGACTTTGAGCAATCCAATTCAAGACTTGAATCACATGTGATTCGAGCTACCAAGCCATATATTGAGCAGTGTGACAACTGGCACTGTCTTGTTAAAATATGGTACCCAGACTATTATGAACCCAAGGTATAAAGTTGATGGCTAAAACATTTACATAAGCTTCCAAATTCATTGTTTGATCTATGAGTACTAAGGAGTCAATACCATTCTACAAGAAACAGTCCCAAAACATAGTTGATCTTCTGCCAAATTTTACAGTAGGCTTGATACAGTCTATATTGTATTCTTCCCTAACTCTGCACCAAACTTGTACTCATCTATCAGACTTGAATAAGGCAAATCATGATTTATCAAACCACACAATTCATTTTCATTTCTTGTCCTAGTCACATTTGGTTCTGCATCAATTAAATCAAGCTAAACGTTGTTTATTTGCTAAAAAAAACTTTTTTCGTGCTGTGCAACTCCCTAGTCCCATTTCATGTAAGTAGTTTCGAATAGTATTTACATGAAATTTTAAGGTGAGGTGAGTGTTTATGTCATTCTAAATGTTGCCTAGAGGCGCAGAATGATTTTTTTAAACATAGCATCACACTATCCACTGATCACGATCAGAAAGAGATTTTGGTCATCTAGGACACATATTAAGGTAAAGAGAACCATTTTTTTATAGTGATTTATTGTGTCATAAATGGTTGAGAAAGGTATATCAAGTTAAGAAGAAATAATTTTGCCTTTAGTACCTAAAAGATGCGTGCTAATTATTTGTTCACATTGTTGGAGGCTTAACTTGGAATCCTCCAGCATTTTTAGTATGACAAAAAACTATGAAATGAAGAAAGTAATACAAAAAAATTTTTTGGATATACAACAAAAATTAAAAAGGAAAAACAATTTAAAAAAATTTTTTTATTGCAATAATCCATCCTAGTAATTTACCGTAAGGATATGTATTTGTCAAAACAATATTCTATATGTGTTAATATATAAACAAATTCTCTGAAAGAAAAAAAAATAACAAAAATAAAAATTATTATAGAGTAACATTAGTACAAAAAACAAAATACTTGAAAATAACAGATTAATAATACAATGATTATTTTAAATAAAATGATTTTTTAAAGATAAATACTAATAAAATTGAACAAAAAATAATAAAAACTTAAATAAAATCAAATATAACAATATATAATAAATCTAAATTATATTAATTATTATTATTATTATTTTAAGAATTAAAGTATAATTAAATCAGTGGAGATTACAAATGTTTATATATAAACAGTATATTAACTAATACTAATATTAATTGACACTACCTACCGTTTTTATCAGAATATCAACTTATATTTTATATACTAGTTAAAATCTGATTATTTGATAGTATGCCACTCATCAATTATTTGGCATATAATAAATAATTTGTCAAACATTTGTCAAACATTCAACAATAATTTGGCATATCCAATTTGACAATAATTGCTGAATTGTTAATAAATGTTTAATGAATTTTTTTATCATATACTGAATGACTGATAAATAGCATACTGCCAAATAATCTAATTTTAACTAGTGATAAGTATGTCTATACTCTAGTTTATATTTAATAGAGATTCAACCTTAATTTAATATATTAATTATTACTAGATTTCTTATTATATTTATATGTATAGCTCATATAGCTACAGTATCTATAATTTTATACTCTTTATACTTTCTAATAAATGTTTTAAAAGTTGTTCCTATAATTGATATATATTATCAAATCTAAAGACCATTAGGTCAAGTAGGATGCAACTTCTAAATTCTCTAATAGACATTTCATAGGCTCTTAGTTGGTTTAAACAGTCAAATCTAAGATATAAATATCAAATAGAACACAATTCCTATAAAGTTGCTATAGACTTTATTTATATATTTATGTTCCTATAGTAATTCTCTTTAAAATTGTCTAATCAGATTAACATATTATTATAGAGTTTGTTATATTAGAGAGGAATGTAAACTTGTATTAAAAGTTAAACCAGAAGCTTTTCCTTATATAACCTTCTTTGCTTTAACCTGTTTTCAATTTACAATTATAAAAAAACCAAAAGTTCCATTTTTATATAGCTTAGTTAATAAATTATATTAAATATCTAAGTTTTATAAAAGTAATATATTTATTAAAATAGTAAAATATATTAATTAACACCTTTACAGTTAACAATAGTGTCAAACAAGATGAAACACTA